ATACTGTTTTCCATAGTAGCTGTACCATTTGCACAATGTACATGGGTTCCCTTTCTTCCGTATCCAGGTCAGCATTTGTTATCTCTTGTCTTTGATTAAGGCTATCCTAATCGCCAAACCCATCTCATTTTGGGTTGGACTTGCATTTTCCTAATAACTGGTGATGTTGAGCATCTTTTCAAGTACCCATTGGCCATTTTTATGTCTTCTTTGGAAAAATCCCACTTGATCATCATGTATGATCTTTGGTTGGCTAGTAGGTAGTTGAGAATTTTTGCACCTATATTCATCAGAAATACTGGACCATAATTTGTCTTCTAGTAGTGTCCTCTTCTGGCTTTGGTATCAGGGTAATGCTGGCTTTGTAAAATGAGTTTGGGAGCATTTTGTTCTCTTTGAATTTTCAGAAGAGTTTGAGGATAGGCATTAATTCATTAAATTCTTGGCAAAATTTATCAATAAAACCTTTATTTTTAATAATAGTCATCCTAATGGATGTGAAGTTGTATCTCACCATGCTTTGATATTCATTTCCCTAATGATTAGTGACATCGAATATATTTTTATGTGCTTATTGGCTATTTGTATAATCTTCTCTAGATAAATGCTATTCAGGTCCTTTGCCTACTTTTTTTTAAAGATTTTATTTATTTATTTAACAGACAGAGATCACAAGTTGGCAGAGAGGCCGGCAGAGAGAGAGGAGGAAGCAGGCTCCCTACTGAGCAGAGAGCCCGATGTGGGGCTTGATCCCAGGACCCTGAGATCACGACCTGAGCCAAAGGCAGAGGCTTTAACCCACTGAGCCACCCACGTGCCCCCTTTGCCTATTTTTTAATTGGCTTTTGTTGTTGTTGAGTTTTAGAAGTTCCCTATATATTTTATATATTAATCCATTGTATTATATGTGATTTGCAAATATTTTCTTCCATTCTGTGAGTTGCCATTTTATTCTTTAGATAGTGTCTTTTGGTACACAAAAGCTTTAAATTTTGATGAGGTCTCATTTGTCTATTTTTCCTTTAGTTGCCTGTGCCTTTGGAGTCATACCCCAAAAAAAAAATCAATGCCAGAGCACCTGGGTGTATCAGTCAGTTAAGAGTCTGCCTTTGCCTCAGGTCATGATCACAGGGTCCTGGGATCGAGTCCTACAACGGGCTCCTTGCGCAGTGTGAAGCCTGCTTCCCTCTCTGCTTGCCACTCCCCCTGCTTATGCTCTCTTTCTCTCTCTCAAGTAAATAAATAAATAAATATATATATATATCTTTTTTAAAAAATTGATGCCAGATCCAGTGTCACAAAGATTTCTGTCTGTTTTCTTCCAGAGATTTTATAGTTTTATATTTTATGTTTAAAGAATGCACTGTTGATACACCCAAAAGCTTGGATAGATGCTGAGTTGAAAAGTCAATTTTAAGTGTTGCATTCTGTATGATTCCATTTATAGAAGATTTTAGAGGTGACAAAACTGTACTAATTGAAAACAGATAAGTGGTTACCAGAAGTTAGAGTTATCAGGCAGTTGTGACTCTTAAGTGTTTACAGGAGGGAGTTTCTTATTTGTGCCAGAACGGTTCCATAATTTGTATTCTATAACAGTTCTATATTGTGGTAATGGTTACATAAATCTAGACATATGATAAAATTTCACAGAACTATACCAAAAAAGGAAGCACTTTGTAGAAAGAATGATGAAATCTTAGTAAGATTCATACATGAGTTAACAGTGTTTTATCATCAATTTCCTGGGTTTTGACATGCACTAAGATTATATAAGCTATTGTCATTGAGGAAAGCTGACTCACTTCTTGTGAGTCAAACTATTTTTTAAAAAGTAGTTATCATTCTATTTTAAAATGTCTTTTAACATTTGCCCATTGTACTAAGGATAAAATCCAAACTATTTTCCAGGACCGACGATACTTAACATGATGTGGTTCCTGCCTGTCTTTTATCTAAACTTTTCCTGTACTATTTCTCTTTTACTACATTCTGGCCATAATCTTCCTTTCAAGTCCTCAATCATAATAATTTCTCTCCTCCCTCAGACTCTTTGTAACTGTTGTTCATTCTGTCTGGAATGTTCTTCTCATAGCTGTATTGTGTGAACTATACTCTCTTCTGGGTGGTGAGATCTTTTTTCTTCTTTAATCCAGGTTTAGGAGGCAGAGCCTCGAGGCAGTAGTGCAGTTTTGGTCATATCGGTTTGAAGTGTTTGTAAGACAAGCAAAATCATCATTAAAAATCTAGTTGGGGGGGGCACCTGGGTGGCTCAGTTTGTTAAGCGACTGCCTTCGGCTCAGGTGATCCCGCAGTTCTGGGATCGAGTCCCACATCAGGCTCCCTGCTTGGCAGGGAGTCTCCTTCTCCCTCTGACCTCTCTTCTTTCATCTCTCTCTCTCTCTCTCTCTCTCTCTCCCAAATAAATAAATAAAATCTTTTTTTTAAAAAATCTAGTTAGGTACATGGATATGTAGATTTAAAATTTGGATCTGGGTCATACAATTTGAGCATTTATAGGAATTGAATGATACTTGAAGCCACGTGATTAAATGAGATTACCTAGGAAGAGAATGTACTATGAGAATGCTACTGGAAGAGAATCTGGGATCAAGCCTGGGGATCTCTAATAGAGCAAGGAGCAAATGGTAACATGGAAGCCAAGTAAGAGAGTGTTTCAAAGGAGATTAGTCTAATGTATCAAATGCTGCTGAAAAAACATATGAGATAAACATAAAGAATATTAAGTTTCTATAACCATATATTGATGTTATAACTAGAAAAATACTTTTAAAAATAATAATACAGAGTTTGATATCAGCATCATGAAATTTGTTCTGTCGTAGATTACTAACAATAAACTGGCAGAGTCCTTTCAGAAACATTTCGATAGTATGTATCAAGAGTTTTGAAGTGTTCATATGAAGCTTTTGGCCCAGCTTTGCGCAGTGGCAGTATCGTAGCCAATGAGATTTATCTGAGGCGCGATTATTGCTAATTGAAGCTTTTGGCCCAGTAATCATATTCCCAGAATATAATTAAAAGAAATAGTCCTTACTGTGGAAAAGACTGTACATCTGATTATATTTATGGCAGTAATATTCATAATAGTGAAAAAATAAAAAATTACCTCAATGTCCAGTAGGGAAGTGTTCAATCAATGATGATAATTCACCCAATGGACTATCATAGTATCATTAAAAATGATGTTTATATAGACTGCTAGTTCTGTGGATACATAACGGATGCCTACACTTGGTAAATTCTAAGAAATATACCAATAGTGTTTTTCATTTTTATTTATTTTAATAATTTCTATGTGTTAATTTTTGCCATATTTATATATGTATTTTATATTACATATAATATATATTATATATTTAAACATGTTTAAAAACATGTTTTATAGATAAAACATTTTTTCCATAAAACATGTTTTTAAGCTTGTTTGAATGATTATCTTAAATTTTCTTAAACTATCCTTTTTTCTATTATATTTTTGGCATGTGTCACTTATTATGTTTTATTCCTGTCTTATTCTATGCTACATTTATTCCTTTCCTTTGCAGTTATATGAAAGACAGTTGTATTTAAAATTCTGAACAGTGAAAAATTTTTAAATAAAATTTTGAATAGTGAATAATATTTTTAGAAATAAAATTTAAAATATCCATTATTTATTATATACCAGACAAATCTATGCTTCTCTATCAAAATCAATAAATGTGTATTCTTCAGGGAGGCCTTATCTGACCATAGTCACTCTCAAAATTGGGTTAAATCCTATTAGATAACCCCATGGTCCCAATGAATACCCTCTAACTGACATTCATCATAGCGATCTCAAAGGCTCCTTTGTTGATGGTTGACATTTCTAGGAAATTAACTGGAGCATTATTGGAGGATTAGGGCAGAAGGAAGCCATGGAATTTTATTTTATTTATTTTTTATTAAAGAGTTTTATTTATTTATTTTGAGAGAGAGTGTGTGTGTATGAGCAGGGGGAGGGACAGAGGCAGGAGAGAGGGAATAACTAACAAACTGCACACTGAACATGGAACTGGAAGTAGACTGGATCTCAGGACCATGAGACCAGGACCTGAGCCAAAACCAGGAGTCAGAGGCTTCACCAGCTGAGCCCACCAGGTGCCCCAGAAGCTGTGGAATTTAGACTGACCCTCATTATCTGATTTTTTACTCTAGGAATTCCCTATAATGATACCATTGCCTCCATCCCAAAAGTACCTATTGGGAAAAATTCCTGTCAATTCAACTACTCCTTAAATCTCATTAGAAAAAGAGGAGGCTTGTCAGATCTATTGTTAGACAAAGAGAATTTCTGTTAAAGCCTCCAGATGTCATTTGAAACCTACCTTGAAAGATTATGTTGGGGGTGACTGGGTGGCTGTCGATTAAGTGTTAACTTCAGTTCAGGTCGTGATCTCAGAGTCCTGTGATGGAGCCCCATGTGGACCCCGACGTGATTCCCTGCCTGGGGTCTGAGTAGGATCCAAATAGGGCTATACACTCAGTGGGGAGTCTGCTTCTTCCTCTCCCTCTGCCCCTGCCCCTGCTTGTGTTTTTTTTCTCTCTCTCAATAAATAAAATCTTTTTTTAAAGAATGTTGTTTTAAAGTCAAATTCATATAGAAACAATTCTAACAGATTAGTTTTAGAAACTCCATTGCACAGTTCATTGAAATTAAAACATGAGAGCATTTATTTAAAGGTCCCCATAATCTCAATTCATTCGGGAATCTGATTACGTATAGTTTTTTCAACATGTTGGAAATGGTATTACAACTTCTTTATGTTTCATAAAGTTCAATGGGGAGGAAACTATATGGTAAAAAACAAACAAAAAACCCCTGACTCTTGAAAGTCTGGTAAATGTATAAATATAAATAATGTCTTAGCTAACATGTCAAAGTCAATATATCATGACTTAATTTCAGAATAATTTTGTTTATGAAAAGTGAAAAGAGGATTTTTTTTTTACAGAATTCTATAGTACTTACCAAGCAGTTGGCCACTATGGGAGAGAAGCCTGGCATATACACAACTCTGAAGAGAAAAACTTATTTGCCACATGACAAAATGGAGAATGGGTATTTAATTTTAAAATTTCATACATAAATTTTATTTTTTCAATTTAGTATAATAACTATCAAATTTAAAGTAAAAGAAATTTACTCTAAAACCTTAGTGGAATTTCATGTAATATATGTAATTTCCAAGTAGCTTCTTTCATGATGCACCCCCAAAATTGAAATAATCAGAACTAGTTACCAACTTAGAAACTGCCAGTCACACTTCTGGATTATCATTTTACAGCTGATATTAATAGCTAAACTTCAGTCCCAGGGCCTCATTCAGGATGTCACCAAATTCTGGCACTATCTCCAAATGCTTCCTGCCGGTTCCAAAAAAGTGAACCCCAGTGGTGTAACTGATGCCACAATCGCTACCACCATCAGCACACACATATAACACAACAAATCCCACCTGAAAGTAAATCTGTTAATTCAGTAAGTGATTATGGTGTTTAGACAGCCTTTCTTAACCTATTACAGCTAGGCACAGGGCAAGGGGCTTGTATCTACAAAACACAATTTCTGCCCTCAGTGACCTTACCTTAGTTGGGACTTAAGTGGACAGTAAACAAATAGAGGTGAACCCAGGCGAAATGGAAGAGAGGGTGCGCTAATCAAGGCTTGGATGAAAAGGAATCAAGCTGGACTTCCCTAAAGGGGTGACATCTACATTATTGAAAAGAAATGAAAGTTAGCCAATTGGGGGAGCACTCCAAACAGAGAGGGAGCATAGACAAGAGCTTTCAAACAGAGACCTGAGGAAGCAGCCACATTTCAGGTGATGCAAAGTGAAGGGTAACATTCAGAGAGAGAAGATGTTTTAAACAATCCTAATAATCTGGGGCCAAAATTCTTGCTGACTCTGTGAAACTTTGGGACATAGGGAGGTAGGAGAAACCATCATTATAAAAACCAACTAAAGGCTTGTCTGATTTAGTGGGCCGGTGGGAAGGTTACAGGCACCATCTGTTTCTTCTCTATTATTGACTATACGGAGCTTTGTACGATTCACCCCTTTAAAGTGTACAATTCATGGCTTTTAGTGTATTGACATAGTTGTGGAACTATCACCCTTGTTTAATTCTACAACATCTTTATCAACTCAGAGAGAAACCCTATTCTCTCCTCCTCCCAGCCTTTGGTACTACTAATCTATCGATGGATATCCAATTCTGGATATTTCATATTAAGTGAATCATACAATGTATGGTCTTTTGCGACCGGCTTCTTTCAGTTAGCATGTTTTCAGGGTTCATCCATGTTGTGGCATGTATCAGTATTCCATTCCTAAAAAGGAATAAAAATTGCCAAATAATATTCCATTACATGAATATGCCAACTTCTGAAAAATTTCGTTTTGGTTTTGTCCACTTTCAGGCTATTATGAGTAGTGCTGCTGTAAACATTTATTTACAAGTTTTTGTTAGACATAATGTTTTTATTTCTCCTGGGTGTAAACCTAGGATTGAAATTTTGAGTCATATGGTATCTAATTTCATTTCTTTGTTGTCAGAGAAAATATCTGTGCTACTTCAATTCTCTTATATGCATTGAAGTTTGTTTTATGGCCCAACATACAGTCTGTCTTGGGGGATTTTCCCTGCCCACTTGTGAAGAATGTTTAGTCGGCTGTTGTTGGGTGGGGTGTCCTGTAGATGTCTGTTAGGTCTAGTTGCTAGAGAGTGTTGTTAAAGTGTTCTGTCTCTTTGTCGATCTTTTGCTAGTTGTTCTGCCCCATTGTGGAAAGTGGTATATCAAAGTCTGCAACTATTATTGTTGAATTGTCTATTTCCCCCTTCATTCCGTCCATTTTTATTTCATGTATATATCATTTGCCTGTGGTATATAACTCTTTTTACACATTGATGAGTTCCAAAGGTCTGCAACTTTACCCGGAATGTCTTTATCTGGTTTGGGTATTAGGGCCTCTTTCTCTATTGTTCTTCTGTTTTCCATTTACTCATTTCTGTTGCCATTTTTTTCCTTCCATTTCCTTTAGGTTTGTATTGCTTTGCTCTCCAGTTTTCTAAGGTGAAAGATTAGAGCATTGATTTTAGATCTTTCTTCTTTTCTAATATATGCATTTAATGCCATACATTTCCCTCCAAGCCTTGCTTTCAACGCAGCCCTCAAATTTTAGTAAGCTGTATTTTTTTTTCATTTGTTCAAAACATTTTCCATTTTCCTTTTGTTCAAAATATTTTCAAATTGCAGTTGAGATTTCTTTCTTGAAAGCTCCAAATATTTGGGGATTTTTCCAGCTATCTTCCTGTTATTGACTTCTGTTAATTACATTGTATTTTGAAAGTATACTTTGTATACTCTCTGTTTTTTAAAACTTCTTGATATGTGTTTTCTGACCCAGGATACAGTGTGTCTTGGTCAATATTCCATGGGAACTTGAGAAGAATGTGTATTGTGCGGTTGTTGGATGAGATATTCTTTAAATGTCAATTGGATACACTTAATTGATGGTGCTGTTCAGTTCAACTATGTCCTTACTGGCTTTCTGCCTGCTGGATCTGTCAATTACTGAAAGAGGAGTTTTGCATCTCTAACTATACTAGTGGATTTTTCTATTTCTCCTTGTAGTTCCATATTGTTTAAAAAGATATTTGTGGCAAAAGTCGTTTTTACAAAGCACAGGAATGTAAACACAAATGCAAACACAAAATCGGGCCAGTGATTACGTGTAAGCAAGTGGGGATGCAGAGAAGAGAGGCATAGGACATTTCTAAGATATTGGTAACATTCTGACTCTTGATCTAGGTGATTAGTACACAGATGTTCATCTTTGTATTATTCTTTAACCTTTTGTATATATGATACATTAATAATAAAATTATTGAATAAGCGGTATTTTAAAAGAAACACAAAGAAAACATGCATATATAGAGAATATCAGGGGTTCGTTTTCTTTAAATATTGCCTTGGATGCCATAGAATACCATCTACATGATTGACTAATCTGGGTTTAGAAAAGTTTATCCTTATAAAAGATACATTTTGTAGTAAAACGAGAAAGCAAAATAGGAGAGATGGTTCTGGGCAGAACTTAAAAGACAATGGAACAAACAAACAAAGACAATGGAACATAAAGACAGGGGAGAGAGAACAGGCACTCCAAGAGAGAGGAAGAACACAAACAGTTCTGGTAAGCAAACAGGAAGAACACACCTGAAATACAATATGGCAAGTGAAAGTAAATAGGAAAAAATATGGAAATTCCCTGAAAATCATTTGGAATAGCTTGAATTCTTTTTCCTGGATATAATTAAAGGGCCACTGATGTTTCTAAGCAGAACATGACTAAATGAAATTCAGTTTAAAGGAGATAAATTAAAACATGACAGATTAAATGCATTATTTAATTTCTATTCTCTCCCTTTATCTCACTAAGATAGTTGCAATTCTCCAAGGAGAAACGATGGGAAGGGAAGCAAGAACAGGAAGTAGAAAGCAGGGAGAGAAGTGGTGTCTGATAGCAGAGCATGAAATTGTGTTAATTAGGAGCTTGCAGAGGGAATTCTAAAGGGATGGGAACCCTCCGGTGTGCCTTCAGTCTTTTCCTCCAGCTCTGCTCCCTGAATATGGAAACCTAGCATATATCCTCCTAGCAAGATAGAAGAGGATTCTTCTTTGAATTAACATGATCAGACCTACTTAAAATAACTTAAATTTGGAGTCAGAAGGGGAGAAGCACAATGGAGCACTAGAGGAGTGAGAAGTATTCCTAAGAACTGACCCAGAACTTGTTACAACTTCTCTCCTATATATTAAAGGAGAACCAAAGACTACCAGAGAATTGCAAAAAGCTTCTAACATGAACATCAGACACCTAAATCAATAAAGAGAACAATGGAACTCAGAGGAAACAAAAGATAGCAGGAAGCAAAAGAAACGATCCAAAAAAGCATAAATAACATCTTCACAGAAATAGGAGAAGATATTGTATACATTAAAGAAAACTAACATGTTATAAAATGGGAAAGAAGTAAGAAAAGATTTTGCAAAGTGTATAATCACAATGAAAAAAATCAAACACTCGAAATCAAAATGATAGACATGGAAAATTGAAATGCTCAGTATGTTCTGTCCAGGCCTTGAGTGTTGGCTTCTCTCTAGGCCTTGTAGATAAACAGTTCTCCATCCAAACAGAAGAGTCACCAATACCTCATTATAATGTAACTACACATATGGACAAAATGTAAAAAATGGTACTGATGATCACAGAAACTGTACTTGAAACCAATGTTTTAGAGTCAATAGTGTGGCTTGCAAAAAGCAGTAATTGCATCACATTTCATGGTGGCATGGTTTAGGGCACAGAGGTTTGGTAATAACCCTACAGCTACCTAACATGGGTCCCCCAACCTGCCAGGACCGCATCCTGAGTGGGCAGAATGCCATCACCCAAGTATGTGCACAGTGAGGAAAGAGGAAACTCAAGAGACATTTACCAAACATCTAGAGCCTCATGTCTCCTGGATGGCCCTGATAAGAAACTCTCCTTGGAATTTTTCATAACTTCTGAGATACATAGGAGAATTCTTATTTTCACAAATTCCTCTGTATATCCACTCAGTAGATAGACCCAGCTCTGTCAAATTTTAGAATACCAAGAGAAAAAGGGAAGATCCTAAAAACTTATAGAAAGGCAACCCATTAAATAATAACAAGAATCAATGTATCATCTGACTTTTCATTAGGAAACTTTAATACAAAAAGACTGGAGAAAATGCCCTCAGATTTCTGAAGTCTCTGCCTAGCCAATTTATCCAGCAGGTGTGTAAAATATTTTCAGATATTCAGAGTCTCAAAATTTTATGTTCATATGTACTTTCACAGAGAGGTACTGAAGAAAATGCTTTAGCAAAACAAGAAAGAACAAAGCACAGGATCCAGTAAATGGTGGCTTCAGCCCAAAGAGTAATGAAGTGAAGCAAGTACTAGATTATCTCCACATTTACCACATGGAAAATATTGTGGAACACCACATTACCTATTGGAACACTTAAGAAACAACAAATTTTCAAAAGGAAATAATTACTACCTCTGGGAGAATTATTACCTCATGAATATATATGTACATATGAAATGTAATTATAGTAAAATAACTGACAGTAGTAAACAATGTTTACATAGTAAAACAATGTAATGTAATACAGATTAATCTGAACACTGTGATACTGGGAGAAGTCGTGTAAATAGTTACATTTTATGAGAAATATATCTTCATCTGGCATGTAAGAAGCCAATATATAATGTGTAAAATCATATATTGAGAGAAGCATAAGAATATTTGAAAATTTGAAGACACATTGCAGATGAAAGAGCTATAAGAGTCAAGACTGTTTTCCTTTGGGAATAAGAGTGATAAATGATGAGAAATGGGGCAAAGATAGCATTTTAGTGCTATTTGATTTGTTTAACCCAGATATATGTTGATAAAAGTTAAAAAAAAAATTAAATGATAAATGTAATGATGAACAATGTACAAATTGGATGAGAGAAGAGAGAGAGGTCATTTTATTTTTCTATTTTCTATTTTTTTCTTCTTAGGACCTGGCGTATTTTGGTACCAATGACATTAGATGATATGCTAAAGGAGATTAAAGGAAATCAAGTGGCTTTTCAAGATTGCTTTACTGCAGATTTTCTTTTTGTGCTGGCCTTTCCTTTGATGACAGTACCTGAGATTCCTGGATTTTTACCAATCTCTTCACCACGTGGTAGTCAGTTAATGGCAGCCTGGACTGCTTGTGTTCCTTCATTTGTTGTTGTGGTTGCTGATATGGAGACCTTTCAAACAAATGATTCATTCCACAGCTGGACCAGAGTCAGAGTGCCTCCAAACATTTTGACTGACGATGAAAGGCACAATGTATCTGATGTGAGCCTATCACGGGATGGAATATTTTTTCTAATAAATGGCGTTCTTTACGTAAAAAGTTTTGCTGAGTTCAAAAGGCTGGGAGTAAGTGAAAATCTTCCTGATAGTGGAATTATTGGTATTACAACAAGAAAATGGTGTTGGATCAACTATTTATTAAAGGTTAGTAAAAGATTATATATATGTATATTACACTTACACATTTAGATTTATTTACTATATTATTTAATTCAGTGAAATATGAGACTACACTATACAGCTTTCTTGCAGAGTTATTTTATTTATGGTTGTAAATAAGTCCATCTTCCTTACCTAACATTTTAGAGGCATCTTTATAGAGATACACTTCTAACAAAAGAAATAAAATAAATCTTATGTATTATTATGCAGTCATTTAGCCATATTATGAGAGTTTTGTTTAACCTTGATGTGGGCAAAAGGTCCAAAAAAATATTTTCCCCAAAAAGTCTATGTACTCTCAAAAAATGAATTAACTCCTCTTTTTGACAATATAGGGAATAAGATATCCTAAAGTTTGTTCCACTATAAAACACTTAAAATGTTGTGTAAAAATTTTAAACTTTTTAAAAAGCAAATAGCTATACCTGTATGGAAATAGGAGAAATCCTGAGAGGAATGGGGTGGTCCGAGATCACTAACCGAGAGGCATAAGCCAATTCCCAAATCTCAGCTGCTGTAAGCTCATGTGCTGATCTTATATATTTAGACCTCTGTTACTTAGACACAAGCCCTCGGGCCTGAGCAAGGTAGGGCATCTGATAATCATTTTTTCATAAAACAAGAATCTTCAAAAACTTTCCCAACATAATTAAATCTATCCCAGCGTTAACTCTTAGAAAGAGAGAAAGTCTGTCTTTAGAATTTGTGATGAGAAATCAACCCACATGGACTCTGGGGCCCAGATTCCCAGGACCTGTGTAGTTTAAAAAACATTAAGGCTATTACCAAGCAGAATTAAACATCATAATTTCTGGAGAAATAAACCCTCAAGTCGGGCTTTGAAAATTTCCCACAGATAACATTCTGACAAAATTGAGCTCACAGTAAAAAACGACAAAACACACAAAGAAACATTAGATGCTGTGAGAGCCAGCAGAAACAATAAGGAGAAGAATCATTCCTACAAAGCCATCAGGTATTGGAGTTGGCAAAATACAAAATATCTTTAATAGATTTAAATAAATGGAAAACATAGGGAAAAATGAATCTACCAAATGGCCAGGCAGTTAGTAAAACCAAAAGCAAGAAAGCCATTACTATAAAATTTAGGGTAGTGGTTATCCTGGAAAGGAAAAACATAGTGACTGGGAGAGAGCATGGGTGACAGTTGGGAGTTCTGATAATATTCCATTTCTAAATCTCCACGGTCATTACACAGACTTTGCTTTGCACAACTCTTCCAGCAGTGTATTTTTCTATTCAGTCCATTTTCTGTATGTGGATTGTATTTCAAAAGTTTTAATATGTAAAAATAAATGTTAAAATATTACATTTTATGTAATAAGCTTAGGTAAAATAATGAAATTGAAATTAAAATTCAATGGACAACTTAAATTGAAAATTAGATGAGAAGAAATTAAACAAAATAAAAAACTGAGAGAAAAAGAAATAGAAAACAAGAAAAAAAGAACAAGAGAAAAGAGAATGGAAAAGAAAAGATCCAACATACATCTAATCAACATTCCAAAATGAAAGACTAGAGAGATGGGAAAGAACTGAGAATTTTTCAGACTTCAAGAAAGATATCAATCCTCAGTCCAAAAATACTAATAAATTCCAACTGATATGTTAAAAAATAAAACTGCCTTAACACAAAATAATCAAATTGCATGGTCACAAGTTGCATGGCAGTCAAAGACTAGCAAGATATTGAAAGTATCCAGATAAGAAAGACAAATTACAAGCAAGGCAACAAAGTAATTAGGACAGGTGGAAGCCAGAAGATAAGAAAATACTCAAATAACTGAAATCAAATTATTGTCAATCTAAAATTATACACATTCGATGAAACAATTGTGAAGAAAAAGAATGTTTGAAACTATTTTAAAGAACAAAAACCAGATATTTTAGAGTATAAATAGAATAACTGCATTGAAAACTTATTAGATATCATCAATAGCAAAATGGAGATGACATGACATAGGAAATAGTCAATAAAACTGAAGTGTTAAAATTTCAATGGAAATTTTCCAATCTAAACAATAGAAAAAAACTGTCAAAACTGAACCAAGTCTGGGGCACCTGGTGGGTGCAATTGGTCAAGTGTCCAGCTCTTGGTTTCAGTTCAGGTCTGATCTCAGGGGTCATGAGATCGGGCCCCATGTCAGGCTCTGTGCTCAGCATGGCATCTGCTTGAGACTCTCTCCCTCTCCTGCTCTCTCGCTTTCTAAAAGAAATAAATAAATCTCAAAAAAAAAAACACACAAGTTTTAGAGACCTGTGGGATGATACCAAAATGTCTAGCATTCATGTCATTGAAGTTTCAAGAAGGAGAGGAGAAAGAGTATCATTTAGAAAAAAATATTAGAATAATTAATGGTTAGAAACATTCCATATTTGGCAAAAGATATAAACTTATAGGGTCATGAAACTCCGCAAACTCCAAACAAGATAATTGCAAAGAAATTCATAAACTACTGAAAACCAAAGGAGGAAGAATAGAAAGCACCCAGAGAAAAATGACATATCCTGTACAGGAGAACAATGATTCAAGTGATGGCAGATTTCTCATCAGGAGCCATAGATGACAGAAGGTGATGAAGTAATATTAAATGCTGAAAGAGAAGAAACATTAACCTAGAGACAAAAATATCTTTTAGGAATTAAGGAGAAAAATAAAGACATTTTTAGATGAAAGAAAACTCAAGAGAATTTGTTACCAGCAGACCTCTTCTAATAAATGCCTAAGAAGCTTTCAGGTGGAAAGGAAATGGAAAATTTAAAAAGTCAGAAATTAATAAAGAACAATAAAGAAATGGTACTTATATGGGTAATACATAAGTTCCTTATCCTATCTTATTTCCTTAAGATAGGTATGACAGCAAATATGTATAAAAGCAAAACTTAAAACATAAATATTTTCTGGTGGGGCTTTTAATGTATCTTGATATATAGGACAATTACAACATAAATGAGGAAGGCAAAAGGAACCTATGGAGTAGTGAGGTTTCTTTATTCCACTTAAAATATTAAAGTATTAATTCTAAGTAGGTTGTGAAAAGTAGGGACATAAATTGTAAGCCCTAGGGCAGCCACTAAAAAAGTAAATGATCAATATATAAATTAAAATGGAATACTGGGGCGCCTGGGTGGCTCAGTGGGTTAAAACCTCTGCCTTTGGCTCAGGTCATGATCCCAGGGTCCTGGAATCGAGCCCCACATCGGGCTCTCTGCTCACCAGGGAGCCTGCTTCCCCCTCTCTCTCTGCCTGACTCTGCTTATTTGTGATTTCTGTCTGTCAAATAAATAAATAAAATCTTTTAAAAAAAATAAAAATAAAATGGAATACTGGAATACTATGGAATACTGGAATACTAAAATATATATATATATTAAAAATTTTATTTATTTGTCTGAGAAAGAGAGAGGGCATGAACAGAGGGAACAGCAGACAGAGGGAGAGGGAGAAGCAGGCTCCCCACTGAGTAGGGACCACTTTGTGGGGCTCAATCCCAAGACCCTGAAATCATGATGCAAGCCAAAGGCAGATGCTTAACTGACTGAGCCACCCATGCTCCCCCTAAAAATATTTTTTTCAAATAATCCAAAAGAAAGCAGAAAAGCCAAAAAAAAAAAAAAAAAAGGCAGAAGGCAAAAAAAAAACCACCAGGACAAAAACAGAGGATACAAAGTAAACAATAAAATGGTAGAGCTATATAGAAACATATAAATAATTTCATTAAATTTAAATGGCCAGAGCACTAATTAAAAGATATCAGTTGCCAAATTGGATTTTTTTTTCTTTTAAGATTTGATGTTCCAGTTAGTTGCAGGCACCTGGATAGCTCAGTTAGTTGGGCATCCAATTCTTGATCTTGGCTCGATCTCAGGGTCCTGAGTTCCAGACCCAGTGGTGTATGGAGCCTTCTTCATTGGTGAGAAGACTCTATACCGTTAGGATGTCTATGCTTGAGAAATTCAGCACACATTGTAACAATCCCAGTGGACAGCCTTTATTCATGTCATCGTTCTCTTATATGCAGTAGAAATTGAGAAGCTGATTCTAAAAGTCATATGGAAATTCAAGGTAGAACCAAAAAATTACAGATATCTAAAAATAAATGCCACTAAAAGTGTATAAGATCTTGGTTGAGATCAAAATAAAATATCAAAAATATTAATGAAAATCTGAGTAAGTAGCTAGCTCTATCATGTTCATGGATTAGAATACAGAATATTAAGAGTGTTTCAGTACTTCCCAGATTTATCTATAGATTTGATGCCAGTTGAATTAAAATTGCAATGTTACTTTGTGGCACTCAACACACTGATTCTAAAATATGTATATGAGAGAGTAAAGAGCTGAGGGTTGGAAGGGGATGGAATAGCCAAGTGTTTCTTCTCTCACATATCAAACTTTATTATAAGGCTATAGTAATTAAGACATAAAATACTGAAAGCAGATTTTTTCATTTAGTTTCATATCTCACCAGCTTTTGGTGTGTTCAGTCTTCTACTGTCTGATCTCTTTCAGAGGGTAGACACTAGCTCTCTTATGTTTCATGCTTGTATGGTGTATCATTGTTTTTGATCCTTTTACTATCATTCATGCTGTGGCTTTCTATTTCTTAAAAACTGCAGAGCCTGGCTTCTTCTCCAGTGTGACAACCTGTGCCCTAACGTTATAGTCTTCAGTCCACTGAGATTTAACATAACTATTGCTATGGTTGGAGTTAGGTCTACATTTTGGCATTTGTTTTCTATCAACCTCACTTGTTTTTTTGCTTCTCTTTTCTTGTCTTCTGAATGGATCCTGTATTTTTCAGTATCTCTGTGTCTTCTACTGTATTGATTCTTTTTCATTCAAAACTATTTGTTAGTGGTTACACTTGGCTATCCAATAATTTTTAATTTATCAGAGCCTAATTTCAAATATATACTTTACAACAGTGTTAAGAAACTAATAACTGTATGATTTCATTTATACCCATTTTTACCCTTTATACTCTCATCTCATATTTTACTTCTAAATATGCTATAAATCTCAAAATGCAATGTTTTAATTTTTTTTAACTTTATTTTATTTTTTCAGTGTTCCAAGATTCATTATCAAAATACATTGTTAATAATTTTGCTTTAAAAAGTTAAAAGTTTTGCTTTTGTCATATGGGGTACCTGTGTGATATAGTCAGTTAAATGTTAGACTCTTGCTTTTGGCTCATAATCTCAGGTTCATGAGATCAAGCCCCGAGTCAGGTTCCCCACTCAACATGGAATCTGCTTGAGATTCTCTCACCCTTTGCCCCTACCCTTCCTGTTCATGCTCTCCCTCTCTCAAATAAATAAATAAATAAATCTTTTTAAAAATGCCAATTGTCATAAAGATATATAGGTATATAAATATCAACTGATAACAAAATAAGTCTTTTACATCTATATTCTCCTGGGTATGCTTTATTTCTGTTTGCGTATCCAGAGTTCTTCCTGAACTCATTTCCATTCAGCCTGAAGAATGTCTTTGAATTTTCTTGTATAACAAGTTCTGTCAGCATTTGTCTGTATAAAAGTGTCTTTATTTTTTCCCTTCATTTTTGAAGAACATTTTTCACTGAATACAGAACTATAGGATGACGGCTGGTTTTTGTTGTTTATAGAGTAATTTATAAAAACATCATTCCGTTATCTTATGGCCTCTAACCATTTGGGGTAAGAAATGAGCCATTTTTCATGCCATTGTTCTCATATATACCCTGTGTCTTTCTATCTGTAGCTGCTTTCAGAATTTGCTCCTTATCTTTGGTTTTCAGCACTTTTATTATTGATTAGGTATGATTTCCTTTGTATGTATCCTGTTTGTGGTTCAAGGGAACTTCTTCGATTTCTGGGGTAATGTCATTCGTTAATTTAGTGGTATTTTTGGACAGTATCTCTTCAAATATTTCTTCTGCACAATTCTGTTTTTCCTTTACTTCTAGAAGTTTAAAAACACATATATGATACTGTTTAATATTGTCCCACAGATCTCGGACAATCTATTCATTTTTTTTTACCCTACTTCTTTGTATTTCAGTTTGTATATTAAACTGTCTTCAAGTTATCTACTTGGCTTTTCCCACTTACTCTTGAATCCATTGAATAATTTTTAATATAATTTTATATATAATTTAAAAAATTTTTTTATATCTAGCATTTTCACTTCTTTTTTATCATTAACATATCTCAGCTGAAATTCCCCATCTCTGCCCTCATGTTGCCCATCTTTTCCACTAGGTCCTTCAGCATTTTTATGAGTTGTTTTGTCTTTAGCCATGCTTGGGCTCTTAGCACTGACAAGATTCCAGAGATCTCTTCCTACTTTACAACTGGCCACCACCTTTCCAAACCTAGGGAGCGCTGTCTTGTCTCTACAGCCTAGTTGCCAGCGTTTTGATCACTAAGGGATTCTTCCCTCCCTCATCTTGGTCCAGATTTTTATGCTTTGGGAGATGTATCTCTCTCTCTCTTGCTTCCCTGTCCCAAGTCATAGCTGGGAGACTGCTTTACACTGGGAAAAGGCCGGCCATGGGTCAGAGGGAGAGTGTCCCCCAGCTCTCTTACCTGCTCCCAGCCTATGGTAGCTGAGAATCCAGAATGCAGATGGATTTCTCCCAATTTGGCTGCCTGGCTGCCAGCCCCCTCCCTATCTTCAGAGGATTACTGCTTTATATCTGGGAGAGGCCTGAATGCCTGAGAGGGATCTATCAGCTCCCCTACCTTGTCCCAAAATATTTGGCTTACTTCACACAAGCACTAAGTGAAGATCTATGCGAAAGTTTGTGGGTGGGTAAAAACTCATTCCTTGGAATTCCCATCTGTCATATTTATGATGGACTCCCATCCCTCTGCCAAGAAGAAGAATAACTATGGGTCTTTTCTATGAAGGGCTCATTTTGTTTCTAATATATTTCCTCTTCAAGGATTGTCTCACACTGATTTAAAGCAACTAGGTCTAAACATTAAATTGAATCTTCATTTGATAAAATGGTTTTTTCCTGAAATGACTCTTCACCAAATGGTCTGTTTCTTTGGTTACCAGTTTGATATCTGTCTACAGCCTGTCTGAGTATATTTAATACTAAATATTTGGGTATTACATAAACTTAAGGAGACAAGATGTGTCCAAGAGACTCCTTTTGGTCATCATGAACGTAGAGGTTACATGTTAAGTAAAAATCTCTAAGAATTAGAAACAGTTGGGAAGGAGAGACAGGGAAGAAGGGTTCTTGGCTCTCTAAATGAAATTAGGCCCACTGAATTTCAGACATAGCAGCCTCTCAGGGGCCTTCCTCTCTAACAACCTGTGTTCATGAAAAGGTGGTATTGGTCTGTCTAAGGTTTTTAGTTCTGTCTTCTCTTTATCTCATATCCAAGGAAACTGTAATTCCAAAAATAACTTAATGTTTGAAGTGTCTTTATATCTTGACAGTAATGAACATGGAAGGGACACTCATGGCCAAAGTAGATAAACACATAAGAAAAGAGAAAGCTGATACTCTCTGAGGGTCAATTTAAAAGTGAATTCAGATGAATTATTTCTTCAGATAGAAACAATATATCAAAGAATAAAATTACTGAAATAATTTATTTTTATGAATACATATGATACATTTCTATGTAATATATTTCAATGCCTGGAGTAGTATTCAGAAATACCCTAAATGCTAAACCTTAATAGACACTACATTTTAAATATAGCAAATTAAAAGATCAGACTTGTTAGGACTATCACTAAAACCATAAATCTTATAACATTTTCAATTTTTTATAGGGTAAAACAAGAAGTAGAGTGGCAACCTGGACAAAAAATGAAGTTTATCTTGGATATGATTTTCTTAAATTTGTCAAAATAATGACTACTGAAAAACTGAAAAATTTTCTAAATATACCATCAGCTGCTACGCTGACTATACACAATGTCGAGTATCCAGGACACCCTTTGGAACTTGCCTTATTTTTAAGTTACTGCACTACCTGTACGGTCAACAAAACGATTTACTTGGTAATATACAACGAAGATACAGAAGACTGTGTGAACCAAAACTTTGTGTTAGATGTCCCTATTGACAGTTTTTTAACTCCACATTTTATATTCACAGCACTGCCAGGTTTAGTACTCTGGGACAAATATAGGATCTACTATTTTTATCACAATTTCACAGAGACTGGAGTTTTACAAACACCTACAGAATTTGGAAATTTGTCCAGATTAGCACATAACAGCATTATTCATGATATTTTCATAGGTGAGGCATTCTCATTCTGCAAAAATTATTCTAGATTTTATGGTAGACCTCTTCCTCATGAAGGTGTAACAATCACAAATGCACTCGTATACAATGCTTTTGGTAGGTAAAGGTGTACTTTTACCACCTAAAAATGGATATCCTAAGTTCTACCAAGGTTAACTATGATCTCACATAGAGAAACGGCAAACTCAAGTTTTGGGTCTTTCCCATAGATTCATTTTGATCATTCAGCAGATACGAACCAAGCAGTCCACACAGGCATTTTCAGCGTAAGACGTGATATGGTGCTGTCTAGGGTTCCCTAGGGCTACCACAACTGGGTAGCTTCAAACAACAGAAATTTATTGTCTCAGCTTTGGAGACTAAATGTCCCCATTCAAAGTGTGAGCAATGCCACATTCCCTCTGAAACCTGAAGGGAGGCTCGTCCATTGCTTCTTCCTAACCTCTGGTGGCTTGCTGCCAAACCTTGCCATTCCCGGGCTTACAGCTACCTCATTCCAACCTCTGCCTTCATCACGACATAGCTTTCTCCCTGTGTCCTCACATGCTATCTTGTTGCAAGGACACAGGGCCCACCCTACTCCGGTGGGACCTCATCTTAACTAATCACCTCTGTAATGATCCTATTCAAATGAGGTCACATTCTGAAGTAGTACTGGGAATTAGAATGTCAACATCTTTCATGAGGGGACACAATTCAACCTATAGTAGGTGTTGTAGAGTTGAACGGACCCATATTCGCCTCCATGGGCAAGTCATTGAATGTTTGCAAGTCTCATTTCCTAATCTGGAATGTAGGGTGGCTGTGTTGATTGGATAAGGGCTTGTAAAATGCTTAGAATAAAACTGGACACATGATAAACCTTCAGCTAACAGTAGTAATTCTGAATCTTACTGTTCCCAAGATAGTATACTAAACATTATAGGCAATGCAAAGAAATAGGAAGTTCCATCCTCAAAAAGTCTGGTTAGGAGATAAACCTAACCATGGAATTTAAAGGAAATGTTGCTGTAAACTGTAATGTCTGTCTTTAAAAAAAAATTATTATTAATTAGAAAGAGAGCATGAACAGGGGGAGGAGGAGAGGGAGAGGGACAAGCAGACTCCACACTGAGCCCACAGCCCAACTCAGGGCTCAGTCCCACAACCCTGGGATCATGACCTGAGCTGAAATCAAGAGTCAGACACTCATCCAACTGAGCCACCTGGCGCCCCTTGTAATGTCTTTCTTGATGCCTATCACCTGGCAACTCCCAAACAGTTGATTCTTATGTTCCCCTTTACAACAAAACTCTTAAAAATATTGCCTAGTTTCACTTCTTCGTCTTTCCTCCCTTTCTCATGAAGCCACACGAATCAAATATTCCATGGGAAGTGCTCTTGTCAAGGTTCTTAACAACCTGCACTTTGCTAACCCAATGGCCGGTTTTCAGCCATCCTCCATGAGCCGGCATTGTCAGCACGGCAAGATTCCTTTTTTTTTTTCCCCAAAGACTATTTATTTGACAGAGAGGGAGAGAACACAAGCTGGGGGAGCAGCAGGCAGAGAAAGAGGGAGAAACAGGTTCTCCACTGAGCAGAGAGCCCAACCTGGGGCTTGATCCCAGGACCCTGGGATCATGACCTGAGCCGAAGGCAGACACATAACCAACTGAGCCACCCAGGCTCCCCTAGCAGGGTCTGATTCTTGAAATACATTTTTTCACCTGACTTCTGGGGCATCGCTTTTTTTGCCTCTCCTGCTACTTCACTCTCTACTCCTCTGCAGCCTCTTTTTCTTGATCCCTCATCTTCCTGATTCCCAAATGGAGAAGCATGTCAGGGTCTAGTTTCCAGACATCTCTCAGAGATGTTTCCATGCATTCTGCCCTCCAGCCATGACTCCTAGCAACATGGTTAATGCTATGACAGAGCCAATATCAGGAGCTAGAGAGGCACACAGATTGAGGACCTCACCCATTCTGGGGGATGGGGGGGTACAGAAGGCTTCCTTGTGGAAGTGCCGTCTAAGCTGAGGCCTGCTGAATGGGTAGAGGTTAGTTAGGCAGTGAAGACAACAGTGGGGACAGGGTGCCCAACAACCCAGAGACAGAGACAACAGGGTACATACAGTTCAGGCCTTGAAAGACAATTCAATGCTGACACAGAGTTCTCCTGAGAGAAAAAGGAGAAATCTCTGCTGGAGAAATCAAGATCAGGTTACAAGATTTACACAAGCCATGTGAAGAAATTGGACCTTCTCCTAAGGCCCGTATAGGGAGTTCTAAAGAGTTTTGAGCAAAAGAGAAGCAGAATCATATTTGTGTTTTATTAAAAGGCCGTTGACCACAGTAATAAGGAGATAAAGTTAGAATAATCAACGGGGGATACTTTTAGAAGAAACTTAAAGGTTGAATGTTATACTGAGAGCCATTTAGAAATGCTGAAATAAAAACTCTAAACTATAAGCATATGAACTATGAATTTAAAAAGCCCTCAGCCTGTAACATTTCCATTTCTCAAACAACCCACTATTTAAATGTTGCCATGAGATGGGGCGCCTGGGTGGCTTAGTGGGTTAAAACCTCTGCCTTTGGCTCTGGTCATGATCCCAGGGTCCTGGGATCGAGCCCCGCATCGGGCTCTCTGCTCAGTGGGAAGCCTGCTTCCCCCACTCTCTCTACCTGCCTCTCTGCCTACTTAAGATCTGTCTGTCAAATAAATAAATAAAATCTTTAAAAGTTGCCGTGAGGGCGCCTGGCTGGCTCAGTTGATGGAGCATGGGACTCTTGATCTCGAGGCCGTGAGTTCGAGCCCCACACTGGGTATAGAGATCCCTTAAAAATAAGATCTTAAGGGGCACCTAGGTGACTCAGTTGGTTAGGCCTCTGCCTTCGGCTCAGGTCATGATCCCAGGGTCCTGGGATCAAGCCCCACGTCGGGTTCTCTGCTCAGCGGGGAGCCTGCTTCCTCCCCTCTCTCTCTGCCTGCTTATGATCTCTCTCTCTCTCTCTCTCTGTGTCAAATAAATACATAAAGTATTTTTTTAAATAAGATCTTAAAAAAAGTTGCTGTGATTTTATCAGGACTTCTGAAAGAGCAAATTCAAAATATAATAGGCCATATTTTCAAAACATCTAATACATACAAAAATGATGCCATTTTTAGCTGCTGCATTGTGTTCCGTGGTTTCTCTACACTATCATCTAAACTAATAGGAGTGTAAACAGATATTTAGACAGCTATCAGGCTTCAGTTCTTTTGCTATCACGAATAGTGCTGCAGAGAATGTGCTTCTATGTATATTTTTGTACATTTGTACAGGTATCCTTTAATATAAATTATCAGATGTAGAATTCATGAATCAGTAATTTAAATATTTTAAAAATTAATAAATCCTTTCCAGTGGCCCTCCAGCAAAAGTTGTAACAGTCTAAGTTTCTCCAAAAGTATTGGAAAATGTATATTTTCATATACTATATTTGATATTTACCTAGTACAGAAAAATGGGTAATTCTCATTTTATCACACATTTCATAACAAGAGGTTATATCTAGTCTCTTCCTATTTTTATTGGCCATACTCTTGTACAAATTGTCAGGTCATACTGTGAAGTTTTTTGTTTTGTTTTGTTTTGATAAAGAAAAGGAGAGAGCAAGCCCGGGACAGGGGAGGGGCAGAGGGACAGGGAGAATCTGAAGCAGGCTCCATGTGCAACACAGAGCCTGACATGACATGGGGCTCGATCTCATGACCCTGATATCATGACCCAATCCAAAATCAAGAGTCGGATGCTTACCAAGTGAGCCACCCAGATGTCTCGCTTATTAAAACATTACTAAGTGAACATTGGATTAAATGTGAAGATGAAAATTAGGAATTATTTTAAAAACGAGATTAAAAACACTGTATATAAAGGTTTGTGGATGCAGCTAAAGCCACAGCGAGAAAAACATATAGCCTTATGGGGTTTTTTGTTTTGTTTTTTAAAAGATTTTATTTATTTATTTGACAGAGAGAGTGAGATGACAAGTAGGCAGAGCTGCAGGCAGAGAGAGAGAGAGAGGAGGAAGCAGGCTCCCTGCTGAGCAGAGAGCCCCACACGGAGCTCGATCCCAGGACCCTGAGATCATGACCTGAGCCAAAGGCAGACGCTTAACCCACTGAGCCACCCAGGTGCCCCACCCTTATGTTTATTAGTAGTTTTAAATGCTTAGGAAACAAGACTGAGAATAAATGAACTAATCATTTACCGTAAGAAGCAGGCAACAGACACCAAAGTTGCAAAAAGAAAGCTCAAGTGAATAATCAAGAATGACAAAAGCAGAAATTAAGGAATTAAATAGAAAGTAGATCTGATAAACAAGTTAAGGGTTCCTTTCAAAGGAAAAGAAAACAAAAGCAAAATACTCAATTTCGACTGAGGTCATGATCTCGGGACCCTGGGGTCCAGCCCTGCATCAGGCTCCCTGCTCAGTGGGAGTCTGCATGCCCTCCTCTCTCTCTGCCCCTCACCCCCCCCCCATGCTGACTCTCTTTCTCAAATAAATAAATTAATTTTTAAAAATAACATTTTAATGAGCAGCATGAAAGAAAGAAGAGAGAGAGCTGGAAAGCACAGAGGAGGGACATGTAATCCAGATTTATGAGATTAGGAAAGGCTAAATAGAGGAAACGCCTTCCAAACTAAGAACAGGAAGAGGGTACATACTAGAAATATTAGATCAACGGTCAGGATGGGGGGTGAAGTAGACAAGACCCGGAGGCAGGAGACAGCATGCCAAGTTTGTGGAACTGAAATTTGTTGTGTCTGACTACGTCGTATGTGAGCCCAAAAGTGGCAACAGGCAAGGCTCGCTGCACATCGCCACATGACCTGGACATTATCTAAAATCCAAGAGCAGTATATATTTTATTGTTTTGTGAGGCTACACATTTTGTGTGTCATCACACTGTGTTTGTATCCTGCACCTACTTTCCTCACTCAACATCCCGGTGGATTTTGTTGGGTCATCCACCTGCATTTTTCTCTCCTTCTACCTGCTGAAATTTCTAGAAACACAACACACAAGGCACAGCAGGCCCAGAATTGGGTAAGCCTGGAAGGAGTTATTGCCGAAAGCAAAAAAAAAAAAAAAAAAATTAAATTTATAAAGTAAGTTATATGAGGAAAAGTAGCTTGTCACCACGGTGCCCATAGGACCTCGGCACCGCAGCTCACCTGCGCACAGCCGCAGAGTTTGCCAAGTTAGCCACACGTCAGCACTGGCTCTCCATGCCCCCAGTGTGGGGCCTCAGCAGTAAGGGCATCTCCCCCTTGCCGTTATACTAAAACACTCTGACAAATATTCCGAGCTGCACATTCACCTTACCAATCAATGCAACAATTTCACCAGCATTTCTCATATTGTTGCTTTCCTACTGACGACATTATCACTACATGAGAGCTTAAGGTTATAAGGATGTGTATGTGGACAGCGATGTCTTTTTTAAAGTATTCTGGTCCTGAAAACAATTGACATTGCTGATTAGGAGTTTTACTAGAATGTAATTTATAATAATTTGTGAAAATGCCACTTATGCATTCAAATTTCAAATGTAAGTTGCATAAGCACAGTACACTCTGGGCTTCTCACTCTACGAGTTGACCTTGCTCCCTCTAGCCAGTCCCTTTAAAGTGTTGTTGTTGTTGTTGTTGTTGTTGTTGTTTTAAATTAGGAAAGTATACCCCTAGAAACCATCCACGGAGAATGTCATGTCTGGAAAGAAAGCCATGAAATCAACTAGTCCAACTGTTCATTTTACCGATACAGCTACTAGAATCAAAGATTTTAAGAGACTTATTGTCTATGAACCTCTGTGACTTAGGCATAATACTCTGTTAAGAGAAGGAAGTTGGTTATTATTTACAGAGTGAACCTGAAGATGTATCAGCACACACACACGCACACACACACAGCCCCATTTCTTTATCCCAATAGTGTCAGTCTGTTACAGCTTCTATAACAAAATATCACGGGCTATGTGGCTTAAACAATAGAAATGTATGTTCTCACAGTTCTGCAGCATAGAAGTCCAAGATCAAGGTGGTATCAAGGTTGGTTTCTGACAAGGACCCTCTTCCTTGCTTGGAGACATGGGCCACCTTCTTACTGTGTCCTCACATGGCCTTTCCCCTGCCTGCATGCACAGAAAGGTCTTATGTCTTCCTCCTCTGACAAGAATATCAGTCATATTGGACTAGGGCTTTATGACCTAGTTTAAACTCCCATTACCTCCTGAAAGACATTATCATGAAATACAGTCACAATGCAAGCTGGGGTTTCAACCTACCCATTTTGGGGGCATGGGGGAAGACAAAATTCCATCCATAGCAAAATGTTTCCTAATAATACTATTCCTGCATGCCCATGCTCATTATTATTTAGTGCACTAATACCAGCTTTTTTGTGTAAGTGATGTCATATATAAAGTGATGTCATAAATATAAGAAGAAATGTATCCAGGAAAAGAATCACTGTACTATGAAGTAGAAGCTTTCCAGCATCACATAAAGTTGCAGGTTTGCACCTACACACTCTAATTTTTCTCAAAACAGATAAATCCTTCATTACTATAAAAGAAATAATTCTGGTTAGAAGTGCATGGATTTGGGGCGCCTGGGTGGCTCAGTGGGTTAAGCCTCTGCCTTCGGCTCAGGTCATGATCTCAGGGTCCTGGGACCGAGCCCTGCATTGGGCTCTCTGCTCAGCAGAGAGCCTGCTTCCCTCTCTCTCTCTGCCTACTTGTGAGCTCTCTCTCTGTGTCAAATAAACAAAATCTTTAAAAATAAAAAAGCGCATGGATTTATGGTTACTTAGAATAACAAACTTTTCTCCTTCTTTTCCAGATTATTATGGAAATATTTTGGCAAAAATGGAAAATAACATCATGTTTTATTTCAAGATCAATATTAAAGATGCAGTAAAACTACACTCATGGACAAATAGCACAGTTAAGTCATTAATTCTATTGAGTACATCTACTCAAATATATTTCATATATGTTTTTGAAAATGCCACCGTACAGTCACAGGAATATCCTTTAAAACTGGAAACACAAAGTGTGAATTTCTATATACAAGAAAACTGCCCCTACATGGCATTTCATAATAATGTTTTTAGTGTTTTTCACTTTTTGGACAAGGGACAGAACCTGTCCTTTTGGGCTCAAATAGTCTATACAGAAAATCTTGGTCTGTATATTATTGTGGAATCATATGGCCCAAATATATTACAAGAAATACAGAAAGTTCACTATGAAGTCGCCCTAGGATACTGTACTAAAACCACGGTAAGTTAATATTTTAAAATCTATTCATTTGATTGTAAAAAATGTAAAATTAAAATATATTTTTATCCTATCATGAAAAATATAGTATCTGACATCATCAGTGACATTTGAGGACGTTTTCTGATTACAAACACTTATCTTTAGTTTTATGTCATTTTGACTCGTGTTGCAGTAATTTCTGTTAGCAGATTGTGGTAAACAGTGTTTAATTTGAAAAAAAATTGAAAATTTCTTCATCTTTTATAAATGTGTGTGTGTGTGTGTGTGTGTGTGTGTGTGTACTCCTGCTCAGGCTTTTTTTCTCTTTCAAATAAGCAAATAAAAAAATATATATGAATTTATGTATTTATGTATATGTATTTATACATATGTATATGTATATTTTAAAAAACAGATTTTCCTATATAACACTGCCCCAAAACCTGACGGCTTCAAACAGCACCCAATTCTGTTTGTCAATCATTTGGGTGGTGAATACTTGGGCGATAGTGTTGGTTTCATCTGTCTGGGTTCATTCATGAGGTGGTGGTCATCTGGTAGCTTGTCTGGGACAAGGTGAATTAGGACAGCCTTGATCACACATCAAGCGGTTGGTGCACGCACTGGTTTGTGTGAACAAGGCACCTCAGCTGAGCACTTGTCTCTGATCCATGTGGCCTATATTGTCCAGGCCAGAGCAGGCTTTTCACCAAGAGTCTCAGGGAAGTATTCCAAGATAACGTGAGCAGATTCCTGTGGACCTCTTGAGGCCTACACTTGGCCACATTCTATTCGTCAAAGCAATTCACAAGGCCAGCCTAGGTAACAGGATGAAGAAATACAGTCCACCCCTTGACAGGAGAACAGCAGACTTACCCTGTGAAGAGAGGTGCCTACAGGAATGGGAAGAAGTACCGCAGCTAACTTTCAGATGATGCAACACAGCTAGGTGCAAATGTACTTTAGATATTATTTTGTATACTAGTTTCCAATGAACACTATAGCATAAATGTTTCACATGTTACTACAATTTCTTCCCGAACACTGTATATTCTACTTCCCATCTTCTCTTTCTGCACTCAGCTTTCTTTAGCATTTACAGTAGTGGGCATCTTAACAGAGGCAATGGAATGAAATGTTCAGTTAATTCCAAAGTCGGTTAAAGCAGAGAATCATTAAAAATGAAAATGATATGAATGAAATGTTATACTTTAACTTAAATAAATGAAGGTATATTCATGAGTCAACCTTTTAATATAGGATCACAGACTTTTCTTTGCAATAAGTCAACTTACTGGAGCATCTCCTCTCCTTTCTTGCATAACCTTATTCATAATGCATTATCTCTTAAGTTCCCACCTCTATTTCTTTAAAAGGGGAGAGGGCGCCTGGGTGGCTCAGCCGGTTAAGCATCTGCCTTCAGCTCAGGTCATGATCCCAGAGTCCTGCAATCAAGCCCCATATCAGGCTCCATGCTCAGTGGAGAGTCTGTTTCTCCCTCTCCTTCTGCTTCTCCCCAGACTCCTGCTCAGGCTTTTTTTTTTTTTTTCTCTTTCAAATAAGCAAATAAAATCTTCAAAAAAATAAAAGTAGAGGAGGGGGAATAATTAATGACACTGACAAAGCCATCAAAATTCTAGAATTTTTTTCACTTTTTCCAATCTCTTACTGTTACCTTGCTCATACCTAATTCATCAATTTCTTCAGGGACTTGCTTTATTAAAATTTTCCAAAGCAATCTGTACTGTCATTTGCTTTGGATCATTTTGTTCTCGGGGAAACAGTAATGCTCCTTTCCTTTTATACTCAATTTCATCAGCCCATAATATTTAATTCCACAACTACAATAATAACGCAATCTGGGATAAACAGATTTAGAAACACAGAGAGCTGACTTAGATTTGCATAATATATGGATAGATCTTAAAACATTGTTAGGTGGAAAACAGTATCAAATAAGAAACTGAGATCCATCATATAGTAACATTTACAAAAATTGTGAACACCTATACATAAATCACAAGCAACGAAAAAAAGCATTATTCATTTTACACAGACACAATACCCAAGGACAGTTATCAGACAATATGACATCATCAAGTATAATGACATCATGCTTGCTTAATAAACATTATGGGGATCTGCACATGGGGGAAGAGGGAAGGGGAAGAGGAGGGGAAGGGAATAAGGGCAGGAGATACAGGGAAAAACTAAAACATAATAAATAAAATAAGACTGGATTGATCATGTTTCAAGAAACAAGGAGGGTATTTAATTCACTTTTCTGAGAGGTACCTCCTTCTCCCAGAACAAGAACAGAAAAGATTTACACCCTCCTTCAACCCAGGAAAGTTTTCTTTGATTACCTAGCCACAATATCTGCATAAGCTCTCATTAGTTTTCTTTCCAAGAATGTGCTGTATAATGTACTTTTGCCCATTTGCAATTCAGAACTTCAAAATACAGCTACCAGTCAAAATATACAAATAACAGTCATGACAAGTGCTCTCCTTAATGCCCATAACCTGTTTCCCCCATCCCCCCACCTCCTCCTCTCTGATAACTATCAGTGTATTCTCTAGAGTTAAGAGTTTGTTTTTTGGTTTGTCTCTCTCTCTCTCTCTCTTTTCCTCTTTGCTCATCCGTTTTATTTACTAAATTCCACATATGAATGAAATCATATAATATTTGTCTTTCTCTGACTCATTTTGCTTAGCATTATACTCTCTAGTTCCAAAAATGTCATTGCAAATGGTAAGATTTCATTCTTTTCTATGGCTGGATAATATTCCATTACACACACACACACACACACACACACACACAGTGCAGCCACTGTGATGGAGTTTCCTCAAAAAGTTAAAAACAGAAATACCCTATGATCTAGTAATTGCACTTCTGGGTATTTACCCAAAACACACAAAAACACTAATTCAAAGGGATTAGCAAGTTTTTTCATCTTTCTGTGCCTTAGTACTTTCATCTAAGTAATGATGATAATAAGAACAATATAGTATATGTAATAGAATATTTAATTAATATGTAATTATGTCTATGTGTTACCATAATGTATTGTTTTCTATATTAACCACTATATAGTAATAAAATAATTATTATCGTAATATTTACTTCATAAGGTTTTTAGGATTAAATGAGTTTAACTACATAAAGAACTTACAGGTGCCTCTGGCCCGTAGCCAACACTAGGTTTACTTGTTGCTACTACAGCTATAATCACCACTGTTGCTGCGACTACTACTGTTCCTGTTACTACCACCACATTTCATCAACCCTAGCGCACTTTTTTTTTAGCATCTATGAAATCAGGATGAGTCTTACATCCTGTGGCATCTTAGAGCCAATGAATTACAGTAGTAATGTGATAACCTTGCTTATTTTGTGCAGATTGAGTCAATACGACTTCACAGACTAATCATTGTGTGTCCTAGCTAGTAGGGTTGTCAAGTATCCTAGCTCATTACTCAATTTAGGGGAAACAAAACAAAACAAAACAAAACCTGAATATAACACCTATATACAAAAGTGGATAACTTTAATTTTGAAAAGGTTTTAGTGCTACTAGCTGGTTTCATAGTGATATTTACACGAAATTTTAGTTTTGAAATTTTAAAAATGATTTGAACATCTTGATTGACATAGTCCTTTTTTTAATTGAGGTATATTTTTTATAATTGAATAGAACATTATATTCATTTCAGACATGGAACATAATGATTTGGTGTTTGTATATGTTGTGAAATAATCACCACAAAAGCCTACTTAACCTCCATCACTACACGTAGTTACACATTTTTTTCTTATGATAAGAACTTTTAGTGTTTATTCTCTTAGCAACTTTTAAGTGTATAATACAGTATTATTAATTGTAGTCACCATGCTGTACCTTACATTTCCATGGCTTGTTTTGTAAGTGTGAGTTTGTACCTTTTGAGTACCTTCATTCTTTGTTCGCACCCACCACTCCCACCTCTAGTAACGATCAAATTGGTCTCTGTACCTTTGAGTTGCGGGGGAGGGGTCCGTTGGTGGGGAGAGTGTTTCAGCTCCACATGTAAGTGAGATCATACAATATTTATCTTTCTGTGTCTGGCTCATTTCACTTAGGATCATGCCTTCAAGATTCACCCACGTTGTTGTAAATAGGCAGGATTTCCATGTTCTTTTTTTGTTTTTTTAGATTTATATATTTATTTTGAGAGAGAAAGATTTCCTGTTCTTTATGACTGAATAATATTCCATGGTGTGTATACAGAAGAGAGAGAGAAACATAGATTGTTTTCATGTCTTGGCTACTGTAAATAATGCTGCAGGGGACATGGGGGTGCAGATATCTTTTTGAGTTAATGTTTTTACTACCTTTGGGTATATTCCCAGAAGTGGAATTACTGGCTCATATGGTAGTTCTGTTTTTAGTCTTCTGAGGGTCCTCCATACTGTTTTCTATAGTGGCCTCACCAACTTACATTCCCACCAAGAGAGCACAAGATTCTCTTTTCTCCACATCCTCACCAACATTTGTTATCTCTTATGTTTTTTGATCATGGCCATTCTAGCAGGGGTGAGGTGATATTGTGCTCTTGATTTACATTTTCTTGATAATTAGTGATATCACAGACCTGTTGGTCATCTATATATATGTCTTCTTAGGAATAAATATATATTCAGAACCCTTGCCCATTTTTTAATCAGATTGTTTTCTCACTGTTGAATTATTCAAGTTCCTTGCATATTGTGGATATTAACCCTTTACCAGGTGTGTGACTTGGAACTACTTTCTCTCATTGTTTCTTTTGCCATGCAAAAGCGTTTTATAGTTCGATGTAGTCCCACTTGTTTATTTTTGCTCTTGTTGCCCTTGCTTTTGGTGTCAAATCCAAAAAAATTATTGCCAAAACTGATGTCAGGGAGCTTACTGCCTGTCTTCTTCTAGGAGTTATACAGTTTCAGATCTTATGTTCAAGTCTTTAATCTCCTTTTGAGTCGATTTTTGTGTATGGTGT